GACACAGTTTATCTCAATACGGGTGATAGTTTTCACGCATGCTGACGTTTTAAAAACAGAAGTAGAAAATCCAAGTCACCAGCAGACCAGAAAAGGGAAGGAAAACTCCTGACCTGACACTTGGCCTTTCCAGTTCACTGTATGTCACCCAGTCTGACGAGGGTATGTGGGAGAAAGCTGTTAAAACACTGTTGGGTGTCACATGAGTGACGCTCCATCCTCAATATAAAGCTGGAAATTCCTCGTAGAAATGGTGCCACACTGACGTAACGTTGTCACGGCTACATTATGCGTTCACAGGGCCGTGTTGCTGCTGCATCATGTCAGCGGCTCGGAGCGTTCCTGTGACAGCAAGAGGCAACTGTAGGCAAGAGGAAGAGGCTCGGGACAACTGGAGTGATAAACAGAGCCATTCACGGCCTGCAGACGCTCAAAGACATGGATCTCAATGCAAACTGCTGGCATCGAAATACCAGACTGCTCTATATTTATTGGATTTTATTGCTTGTTTGTTATCTGCCTTTTCCAAAGCATAAAAACAGAGCTCTAATTAGAAGTTATTAGTTCTTTCAACGCTGTTTTTCCTTTAGTAAGAACTGAACAGGTGCTACAACAGGATCTAGTAGGCTTATGAAGTAAAATTGAATACTGAGTAAACAAGGATTTGAAGCAGTCAAATGTGCATTAAAATGTCCCTGTTTTATAGCTGCACTTAAGCTGGCTGTGTCGCTGGCAAACAAACAAAACAACAGCACGTTAAGACAGTTCACTGACTGCATTCAAACCGTTTACTGTTAGTTTGTTGCTATAAATAGGGAACATCAGTGCTGAAAGAGAGGAAACAGTAGTCTCTCTGTCCCTGCGGTGCTTCCCCTGGTGTTTAAACAGCAGGAGAGTCTGGGGACTTAAACCAGGGCTAATTAGATAATTCATCAGCCCCGAAGGGAATGACATGTGATTAAATCAAGTCAACAACAATCACCTTTCTACAAAAGACGTGATGAATTATTCCAGAATCTTTCAGTTCACTTTCAGTTCTTTGCAGTTTCACACAATTAGAGTAAACAACCGCTATGTGAGAAGTAAACATCAGTTTACAGTAAGAAAAGTAATAACAAATTAAGCTTTGGTGGAATATAACTAAGTACATTTACTGAAGTAGTATGCTTAATGTATTTAAGGTTTCCGTTTTATTGTACTTGATAAAAGGCAAATATTGTACTTTTTACCCGACTACTTTTTTAATAGCTGCAGTTTAAGAAACTAGAAAGGGATTAAAATCACATATGTAAATAAAACTGCTTACACAGCAATCAATATGTATGAATACAACACATGAGTCCTTCTGCATGTGATACTTTTCAGTACATTGGGCTGATTATACTTATGCACTTTTACTTAAGTAAAATTATGAATGTAGGGCTTTTACCTGTCGAGTTTATTTACATTGTGACATTACTACTATTAAAAACATCTGAATTAAGTAATCTTTAAGAAGTATATTTCAGCATTTAAATATTTTATATTATGGCAGCATGGTGCAGTGGTACAGGCTGGCATAACCTGAACTGCAAATGTTCTAACAAGGAGAGCCCCCTAGTGCTCAACTAGAGACGTCCATACAGAAGTATTTTGACTCATTAAATATATATATTATATATATAATAATAACTTTTACTTTATAAAAGTGCTTCTGACTTGACTCAGTGGAAAGAGGTAAACAGCCAAGCTTACCTAAAACTACGATGCCCAGTGCTATAATGTCACGGGGTCCATAACTGCCACTCAAACAACTCAACAGCTGTAAGCACATTTAAACACTCTATAAATACACCTAACGCTATAGGTAATCATCACCACTCACTCATTCGGCTATGCATACTCCATTTAAAGGCCGCACTAAGCCTACCCAGAGAGCCTAGCATACCGGAAGAACAACATTGATATAAATTGAAACATCTATTTCAGGTTGATGTATATTTCCTAAACAAGATGTGTTACTGATTTGCTAATACTGGTCGACTGTAAAAATAAATGTTTTCACATTTAATTTAATGTAAAATGATTATTCAACGTCCTCTTTCACATTAAAAGCCAACACCCTACCACAGGAGCCTCTACCAGTGCCAAGTTACAAACTAGCGTTAAGTACTTGGAGCAGCTGGTCGCGAGGCAGATTTTGGTTGAATGATATTAATAGCGAGGGATGGAGACAAAAACCACGAGGCCCATTTTCCCTTGGTAAGTGAAACTAACACTAACTGTGTCTCTATTTAAAGTAAAGAACATTTTAGCAGTAGTTTCTTTACTGATTTGGTGAGAATGTGTGGAGGAATGTAACTAACATGAGGTAGCGTTACTTATACTTTATAGAGCATTTCCATTGTATGCTACTTTCTACTTCTAATACTCTAGAAGCAACTATTGTTCTTTTCACTAACATGTATTTAATAGCTTTAGTTACTAGTTGCAGATTCCAATTAATAACAAACTATGAAAAACCCCAATATTAACAACACATTAAAATGATGTATACATTTATGTATATTTTGATGCTGATATTTACTATTAAAAGAGTTTGACTGCAGGACTTTTAGTTGTAAAAGAGTATTTTAACCATATAGTACTGCCACCGATGTAGACCAGTAGTGGGGACCAGTACCAGAGAGTTAACATATCTCCATTAGAAGTAAAATTCCTGCATTCAAAATGTTGCTTAAGTTAAAATTAAAATATTTATTTAAAAAGTAGGCTATAGCTCATTATGCCGAATGGCCCCTTTCAGATTGTGAAGGACTTTTACTTTTATTAGAAGTATGTATTTTTTTACAGAGTGATATTGCTACTTTTACTGAAGTAAAATAGTTATTTTCCACCACTGTTTGTAGGATTAGCAATACTGACTTCAACCGTAAACACTGACTTCATTGGCCTCCACGGTTACTTCCCCAGTGTGCTGCGTGTGACATCTTTATTATTGTTTTTTTGCGCATGCGGGTCAGTTGAGGACTGTGACCAGTTCACACTGCAATCTGATATTGGCCAATTTATTTATTTAATGTGAACAGCCAGATCTGAGCACTAAATCAGAACTGAGACCCTAAGGCTTGCAGTGTGAACGTAGCCTTAGCGAATTATTACTACTCTGGGTACTTTTTGACTTTTCTATCTATAACATTGCATCACATTACCAAAAACGGATTGTATATGTTTGTATGTAAAATTTGAATCACCAACTACAGCTATTAGATAATGTAGTGGAGTAAAAAGTACACGGCTTCCTTCGGAAATGCAGTACTAGATGTACTGCCTGGCACACCAGCAATAATACAGAAGTATCTTAATGTAGTGTTTATGTAAATGTGATGGCTCTTTACTCTCATTATTTATAGCTATTGTTGATTGCTCACCTGAACTGAACCAGTCTGAGGACAGAAAAATAGACGGCGATGAGGGAAGGTGAGAAATACTTAGAATTCAGAGGAGGAGGAGGAAAGGAAAGAGGCAGAAATACATCACTGCAGGAACGTACAAACTGCTATTTAAAATAGTCACTGAGCTGCTTCATTTAGACACTATGTGTAGGTTCATGTCAATCTTATTTAAGATTAAATACCTCTGAGGTGATTCCTGAATGATACAACACCCGTTATCAGCCTGCTAAGTAGAGAGAGCCAGAGTCAAAGAGACTAGGATTACAAAAATACACTTAGTATTTTAAACTAACAGGACAAAAGAGATATGTAATGCTTATAAGACATTTGAGACAGAATTAAGTGTCATCAAGCCAGAAGCATTATCAACTATTGAGATGACTGACATAGAAGTATTTTCAATTTTGTTTCATAATCAGTTGTTTTCTGTAAAAACAATTGAGAAAGTTTATTGTCTGTTTTTGCCTGAAAAATCGAGATACTATAATATATGATTGCTATTAAACAGAACTGTATGTAACATAACCTGCAATGGCCTAATAGACACCCCATAATGTGAAAGAGATAGATACCTTGGTATAAATGTTGTAGCGACCATATAGTCTCAGCTTTTACTTTTTTACTATTTACTTAATGGGAAAAGACGATTTTGTGCTATCAGCCACTCTTTTACAGATGGACACAATTCTCCTAAGCACAAGCATCTCAGATATTCTGTAAAATATGTATTAATGATCAAAAACAACCCAATTTAACAAAAGTTGGATATGGTTTGCATCTAAAACAATAGACCTGCAACTAATAGCACCTTTGTGAAATTTCAACTACTAGCAGAAACACAGTCCTTCATTGCAAAGTGGAACCTAAACTGGTGGAAACAGGTAAAAGGGAAGTGCAGAGGACTCCTTTAGTTCAAACTGCACTGTGATGCTGTAAAATATAATATCACTAAGAACTACAGTAGACTTGCCTGTGCAAGTACAGAGATGTTTCAACACAAGGTTCTACCCATCTATGGAATCCCAACCGATTAAACCCAGTTATGAAACAACACGAAGAGCCGGCACATCAAAGTAGCCCGAATAATTATCAGGCTCTCTATAGCGAATAAAAATTGTCTCGTGTTCTCCTGTTTCGTCAGAGATATGACACAGTGATTGATCATCGGTCAAGTACGGGCTGAGTGTCCAACTGGCAGCACATAAAGGAGGATATAAAAAGGGAACTCGGAGAGCAACGTGCATGCGGTTGAAATAGAGACGCACTTTTTGCTCAAACATGGAAAATTGCTTCAGCACGGAAAAAGTCTGCTTATGCCTCAGGTAACGGAGAAATAGCTTGTTTGCCAGTTAGTCATTATGTCAAACATACAGTACATGAACATCTTAACAGCGTGACTGATGGAGAGCCATTAGTCTGGTATCATATCCTTGTGGCGAGGCCACACTTCTACATGATATAGTTGATACTGAAGTTTACTTACAAAGTACCTTTGTTTGACATTCTACTAAACTTATTTTGTACATATTTTGTCTCAACAGATATTTAAGTATCTGAATCTGCTTTATAACATTAGTAAAGTTCTTGTTAATCCTCAGGTTCAAGGAGAGGTTGCAGACCAAGTATCTTAAAGGCCCAGCAAACAAGATTTCCTCGGTCGGCACTTGTTGCCGTTTTGTAACAGTGAGCCTCGATGACTTCAGTGATTGTTCGTCAGTCTTATCCGGAGACAAGGGAGGTGTCACACCGGTTATCTTCCATGACGCTCCAAACCGCAACTCCGCTAACTCCGGTCAAAAGCCTAGGAAATGCATTTCTAAAGAACATGCTTGCTTTTCAAAGCAGATGATCCAAAAGCAGATTCGTAGAGAATACGTGGCCGCTGTGGAGAAGAAACTCAAACAGCATCCTCTGGCTATGTTCCCGCACTATGAGGATCACATGACCCCAGATGTAAGTGGAGATGACAGCAGTCTGGACTAACAAGCTGCTGTGTGTCAGAACAACGAGGCCAGTAGTAAATGTTAAGAGTTTATCCTGTGTTAAATCATATTTAAATGGTGTCTTTGCTTCTCTACAGTTATTTGATGAGGTGGTATCTGTTTTGGACCCAGACATGAGCGTAAACATCGCCTCTGCACTTCCTACGCCTACAGGAGGCCACGTGGAGGAGGAAAATGACAAAAACTACACAGAGCCAAGTAAGAAGTGAAAAGAGCAAAACACAGAAATTCAGCTGATAAAATGCAAGTAAACTGATGTGTAGTATTAATATAATCTAAAATGATAATACAATGGAATTATGTTTGACCCTTGCAGGACAAAGAGACCAATGTTAGCGAATCTGCAATACTGGGCCTTCAAGACACCATCCCCAACTTTCCCCATCGAAGTGGAAGACGCAAAAAATTTCTCAGGTCAAGAATGAACTCCTGTCACAGCCACAAACAGACAGGACAGTTTCAAAAGTCTTACAAAAAGAGGAAAGTACACAAAAATCACAAAGAGTAGAAAACCATTTTTGATGGCTTCTGATTATAAAAATCCGAGAACACATACAGTAAAGACCCACGCAACAGGTCTTCTGCTGGAACCAGTCACATGATAAGATGAGGACTATGTGAAACAGTTGGTTTGTTGATTGAACGAGGAGCTGAAACAGATGTATGAAACCGTAGCTATGAGGAGGTATGTAATGCACAATGTACTCCGACTGCCAGGGCTAACAGGCAAGGCTATACATTTAGAAGAGGGATTTCAACAGACCCGTAGGGGTTTCACAGCATTTGTATATAGGAAATGCTCTTTAAAACCACACAGTAAAAAAGAAGCAAAAGGAGAAGTGTCCTAAATATGCTTGTTTCGGTATACAAGGAAACATTAAGGACTCTTAAGTTGTGTGTGTAAGCAGAGGCTTAATGGGTGCTTAATATAGATGCTGCAGTATTGTTAACTATTCTTACATATTTGTATCACGCTTGTTATACTGTTTTGTGTGTACCGCCAAATATTAAAATACATGAAACAGATTTTTTTTTAATTTGGTATGATTACTGGTGTGAAATAACAACTCAAACACATTAATAAAAATAAAAAACTTTATTTAAACAATGAATTACAAAGCGACACATGATTGGGGATTTCATTCTTTGACAACTTCATCTGGGGAGCCTTCAAAATAGAAAAGGAGCTTTCTGAAAGACAAAAAATGGGTTATAAAGGAATCAATGATGATCAATCAAATACATTTACACAATTTGGTGAAAAGTCTGTGAAGCCTGTGAGCTGCTGAAGGACAATAGTAACTTTACTACTATTGCTGAAATGGATTTTGTTGCCTCATTACATCCTGACACACCAAGCGTGTGCACTGTGACATCTTATGCTGAGCTACAGTTGATGAAATCATTAATATGAGAAAATGTCTGTTTTATCATTTGATATTGATCAACTGTATTAAAGTACTGCACTTTGGTGTGAATGTTATTCAGCTTTCCCTCTTTTAATATACAGTTTGATATATAAATGATATCTTGAAGAAACACCGACCAATGACTCTGTCTCTGTGTGTGTGTATGTGATACACAATACTAACAACTTACTGATAAGAAGGGTTGGCCTCGGGAGTTAAGTGTTTAGTGTCACTATCAGGTGTTTGGGTCAGAGGTCAGAAGAGAGTAGACGGGTGACATGCGACCCAGTGAGAGCAGCTGTGGGGAGGAAGTGAACCTCACTGCCGTCGCTGGACTTGAGAGAACGCGTCCTAGAAAAGTCAAAATGTATGTTAGAGAATTTAATATTGATGTTGACAAAAAATCCACAATTTGTTGTATATAGTCCGTCTATTGAATGTAAGGCTTCAACTAAGGATTACTTGAATTATTGATTAATCTGTAGATCATTTCCTAAATTCATTATTTGTTCTAACAAATGTCAGAAAATGGTGGTGACATTTTCAAATAGCTAGTTTAGCTGCTAGTTCTGCGCACCCAAAAATCCAAATGATATAAAACAGAAAAGCAGGAAATCCTCACGAGAATAGTTGCCAGATTTGCTTAAGAAAATGACTTCAACAATAGGTCAATTATTAAAATAGTTGCAGATTACTTTTCTGGTGATAGACTAATCATTTAATGATGTTGTATGGCAGATGTTGGACTGCATGAAAATGACAAAGTTGTGAAAACTCACTCTCACAGAAGGATTTGTTGTTGATAACTTTTCCGTTGAGCTTAGCTGCCTTCGGGAAATGGGGCTCGCTGTACACAGTGTATGCACAAACAGACACGCATTACATCACATTGCACAGCCTGCAGCACTTTGCGGCGCCGTGCATGTTGCATGAGGGGTGAAAGGTCACGGGGAAGATGGTATGAGCGTCCGCTAGCCTCGAGACAAGCCATGCGCAAAACATTCAAACAAAAAAGAGGACACAGAGTCGGTTAGGTTTTGGCAAGCTCCCTACCTGCCGCAGGTTTTTCTTCTCAATCTGGAACCAGCTTTTACTTCTTCTGCTTTGTCAGTACTTCTGTGGGTGCAGGGGGATATTCAAATATAGAGTGAGACATTAAACTTCAATTGATTCCATAACAGATATCTTAAGATAAAAAGGAGGTCAACAGCCTGTCTAGTCTTCTTATATGATGTAGTACAGTCCTCCACTCCAAATGACTTCCTGCTTTACTTAGTAGCGTCACATGATTTTAAGATGTGACCTAACCTAGCCTAAGAGCGAAGCTAATCCTTGCAGTGTGTGGGAACGGAGCCAGACGTACAATGTGGTTCCGTGCACTCTCTCCGGTGCAGACCTCCTCCTGATATCTATGTGTGGTCTGTGCTTCTCCGAAATCACTCCTCGCAGCTCCTCGACGAGAGACCTGAGCTCCCGGGCGTGGCACTCCTGCTGGAAGAGAGAGGAGAGAGAAAGACAATGCCAATGCACTGCTGTGGTGATGATAATATTATATAGTGATGGACCGATTAGTTTGACTTTATACAGAGAAACCAGGGACAATCTCACAAATGTCTGTGACAATTAGCAACAAGATCTGTTATACTTAAGTCAGTAAAACTGAATTAGCACTACCACAGTTTAAGAGCAAACAAACCAATCAGTGTTTTACTGCTTTGTTGAAATGATTTACAGTTTGGTGTCTCTCCTTGCCACAGGAATGTAATGCTGTGTATGTTTTTGATTTAAAAGGCATGGCAGATGTGCTGAGCTTGTGTCTGTTCAGCCAAATAAACAACGATTCACACGTGCACTTGATGGGCTGGAACCGTAGGAGATAGGCAGACTATATGGAGTTCCTGATTGTACCGTGATCTGGGTGTTGGAGACGTGCTGGGAGGAGGGTGGGGCGGTGAGTGCAGATGGGGACGGGGAGTCCAGGTCAGATGGAGCTACATTCAGAGCTGTGCGCAAATTGTGACCTTGGAGCTCCTATAGAAAAGACAAAATTGGTTGTTACTCAAGATTTGGTGTTCAGCTCCATTTAAGAATAGTAAGTACAGTAAGTAAATAGTAACAATAAGTCAGACTAGATAAAGACAATACTATCAAACATGCATGAGGAAGAGAAGCGTAGCATAAAGCATTTAAACTAAATAAGGGTATATCCTTTACAAACATACGCAGACTGTGTGTAAGTAGATAAGCCTTATTCCTTCTTACAAAAAGACTCTTTGTCTGTAATCAGCTCTACCTTCAAGTCCAGCGCATGTCGGAGTTTCAGACGGAAAAAGTCCTGCTCCTTCAGCTGGATGAAATCCTGACAGTCTGCAAAGCTCTCCGACATCTTTGAGAAGATACAGAGAATTTGAAACAATAACACAGTGATGGACGCAAACAGTGACAGAACAGGGAGGATACGTTTCTTTATTTATATAAATATAAACCAACATGTTTGAGATAACAACTGTTAGTAATTCTCAGAAAGAAAAATAAGTTATTAAGATATTGTAAATACTTTGGTTTTAAGACAGTTGCTGATCATCAGCCCATTTTTAACACCTTTTCTAACTGTTTTCATCTGTATCTATTTTGGGGCATTTTGTGTATTTATTACATAGTGGACAGTATGTGAAGAGAAGGTAAAGCTGATGGTCAATGAGGGGAGAGGGAGATGAGGAATGAAATGCAACAAAACTCGCTGACCAAACACAAACCAAAAGATGTTGCAGTTCATGGTCTACACACTATGAACTCAAGGTTTGTTATTTAAAAAGATCAAGAATCTTTTTAAATAACAACTGGTGTGTACTGGTTTGACTTGAAACTTTATATGTATTTCAGTCTGTCACAATCGCATCCATGCTTCTCTTAACACCAGATAACATTTGGTAGTAATCTAATGACTAGAAAAAAGTGTGCATGAGCATCACCTTGTGAAGGATTGCCTCCAGCTGGTCGATCCGCTCCCTCAACTGTTTATCTTTGGAGCGAAGGGCCTCCAGCTCATCGCCAAGTTGTCTCTTCTCCTCCCTGACGAAGGTGAGCTGCTGCAGCCGACGCTGGTTCTCCAGGCTCTGGTAGCGCTTCTCCTGGATAGGATGTTAAATTAAAAGCATAGGGTGGGTGAATTGGATTTTCTGTAAATGTATTGTGGTGTACTGTCTAGATGTGATATGTTGTCATTTAATGTACCTTTTTTAATAGCAAGATTTCACAAATTCAAATTATACTAATTGTTTTCTATTTTCTTCTAGGATAGGGAGAGAGTCGACAGAGAAATGGAACAAATGCTGACATGTGAAAATGAGTTTGAATGTAATATTTTGACTGGGCAAAGATGTCCCAGTAGAGCAATTTTGTGTCTTCAAAATGTCCTCAAAGACTTCATTTGAGTATAATAGCGCCTAAACTTGCTTAGATAAAATCACTGCTGTTGTGTCACTCGTCACTGTTTCGTCGGAGTCAGGTGCGTATTTGGAAGATTTTCAAAATAATAAATTTCTTACAAACTCAGGCTTTTTTTTTTGTTATCAATTACAGACATTTGGATCTCTGAACTTGCCAACAGCTGAGCTGTCAAGTCTGCTGCTTTGGCATACAGAAAATAAAGGAGCATGACGGAACAATAAAAAAAAACAAGTTATACAGTTACATGTTTTACCTGGTACAGCTTGTCCTTAATCTCCTCTAGATGTTGGATTTTGCCCTGCAGGGAGTCGACCTGCTCCCTCCTGGCCGTGATCTCCTTCTGCATGTCCAAGGCTACCTGGAGGCCTGAGACAATCCCACAAGACAAAACGACAGAGAGTTTGAAGAAGAGCAAGGAGGTGATATAGCGAGAAAGAACATCATGCACATAATATATCAGAATACCATTATAAATCCCAGAGGTTTAGTCTTGGACAGGCTTTGTACATATTCGGGACATACTGTATGTTCATCGTCACACATATCAGGTTATATCTGTTTCTTTGTACATCAGTTGTTGAATTAAGTGTCAGTTTAAATAATGTCATGAATCTAACCGTGTCCGTCAGCTCCTTCCAGGGTCCTCAGGGTGCACCTGACCTGGTCCAGCTCGTCGTGGGCGTTCCTGAGTTGACTCTGAAGCTTCAGCACCGCACCCTTGCGCTCCTCGTTCGTGCAGCTGTGGAGCCGCTGCAGCTCCTCGTGCTCCTCTGAAATCGCGCCCGCACAAACACATGCATCGTGAAGCGCACTTTAACGCACACAGCGTTGGAAGGGCTTGGTTGACAGTGAAAACATACCGAACATGGTTCTCTGTTTTCTTAACACAGCAGGACAAGAAGATCATTTGATTTGGCAAAGAAACTGTGAGAGCTGATCTCTTTCTAGAAACAGCCCTGAGTAATTTCTGGTGAATGAAAAGTCTGCTGTACAGAGGTAACATGCGATATGGTAAAAGTCCACATGGAATACGTTATTGTGTGGGTATTAATTAAGTAAAGCCTCATGTTTATATGATGGATATCGGTCTGACATGTGGTGATACACATCAGTAAAGCTCAACTCACTAGTGAGGGTGAGTAACTGCAAGCGCTGGATGTCCAGCTGGATGGTGAGCTGCCGTTTCTCCAGAGTTTCCTCCTGGACACGCACACTTTGTTCAGCCACAGAGGCCTGTAGCTGCAGTATATCCTGCTCTGCAGCAGCCAGGTCTGACTTGTGCCAGTCTAACTCAGCCTAATCAGCATATGGCGCAAGAGGAAGGAAGAGAGACAAAGAGTATGAGCTTAATGATGATGGAGTAGGGGTATGAAAGGGGTATGATAAGTAATAAATAAAATTGCTCCTGACCCTGAGCTGCTGAATCTCCAGCTTGTGCTGGTTTAGCTGGTTGCTGAGAAGGCTGTTCTCCCGGTGAAGGTCGTCGATGGTGCTGTTGTGCATCTGTATGCTGCTCTCTATCGTGTTCTCTCGGTCATCCAGCTTAAGCCTCAGTGTCTCTCCTTCTGCACGCAGGGTCTGGCATCGGCTTTGGGCCTCTTCCAGCCTGGCGAGATGCTGGAAAAGTCAGTTAAGTACAATGAGCTATCAAAATGGTTCCCGGATCACGGTTTATATATAATTTCCTCATGAACATTACGTGCTGGGCTTCATGCTGCCGGAGCTGGAGTTCCTTCTTCTTCTCCTCCAGGAGTTCCCGGTATTTCTCCCCCTCCCGGGCCCTCTGCTCCAGCAGGGCCTGTAGGCAATTTCCACATCAGGGTTAGGAGATAAAAACTGCCTACTGACAATAAGTTTATCTATAACTAATGGAATGAAATGTATACCAATGTGTGCAGCATCAGTAATTGCAATGAAATAGGCAATAACCCTCCTCGTTGACTCGTCCCACCGGTGTATTATGCTGTTCTACCAGCAGATTACACACCTCCACTTGTTCTCTGTGTTCCATCTTAACACGCAGAACTTAAGTATCATTTTAATTACTTCATATAAAGTCAACCTGACACTTCAGTTTCCACTTCAAGGAGTGTGCTTTAATGCAAACATGCATATATGAGGACTTTGGGGATGATAACAAGTAGACAGAATGCTGGTTTGGACATTCATGGTTTTGCTGCTGAACCTTGAAGTGGCCGAGCTGGGACTGAAGCTCCTCTGCCTGTTGAAGAGATCGCTCTTTCCCTCTTTGGGCGTCCACCAGCTGGGACTGAGACCGTGTGAGCTGCTGCTCCAGACAACAAACCTACAACGTCACAAATCAAATCCAACTTCATTGTAGTTTATATTCTGATAGACGAGGCAGACAGGAGTTCCATCAGTTCTGCTTCTCCACATTGTGTTTGTCTAATCATCAAGCTACGCTGGTGTTATTGGTGTATACATCTAGTGAACGGTTGGTTAATATTGACATTTAGCAGCCTCAGTATCTCATTGCTCACATTATATTGTCCATAGTGTTGTTGTATGCGCTTCCTTACCGTATCTGTATGGCTGCAGAGAGTCGACTCCAGCTCACTGACCTGACACCGGTGCAGTAATGTCTGTCTCTCTGCAAGTTTCCTGGGATACAAGTGTACAAGTTTCTGACACATATTTAATTCATGGTCACTGATCATTTAGTAAAGTGGCCTTGGACTGAAAACACTCTCTGATAAAACAGGCACGAAGTGAATGGAAACAACTCTTACTTCAGCAGCTCCAACTTGACACTTAAGCTGAAGCTGTTGTTTTTCGATGAGCTCAGTTTGTCAGTCAACAGCGCCATCTCCTGGCCCAGACTTTCCATCAGGTCTTCCATTCTGGAACAGATCAATACGAAGAGTGAACCCTGCTGTAGTAGACATAATATACCTGTGATATACAATGGCAGAGCGTGGGCCGACAACCCAAACTATGTTCAATGACTATTCTCCAACTAAAACTATGTTTACAGATTAGAAATTAACCCAACAATGTTTGTTTTCTTTCATATATGACAAAGAAAAGCAGCCAATCCTCACATTTAAGAAGCGGGAACTTAAGAACATTTGTTTTTTTTTGCTTGAAAAGTGAAAGAAATTAAGAAAAATCTATAATCAAAACAGTTGTCATTTTTATGCCGATTGACCAAACCATTATTGGACTTATCGCTGCAGCTCTCCATTAGATCACCTTTCGTTTTGCTTATTTACTCCACCGCTTTCCTCACTCCCCAGATGTTGTGTTGACGGCTATGAAACAGAAAAATGTATCAGACATAATAAGAGGAAAAGTGTTTGTCTGTGACTACAATACACGTAATATGATTCGTAACTGACTTCTAGTACTTACTGTAAAAAGTCTCTCCTGCAGCTTCTCTGACTCGTCGTTAAAATCCTCAGTTAACTTAGCAGCAGGTGACAGCTGTCTTGAAGTAGTGGCGTCGTTTGGCCTGGTGATGGCGTTGTCTCCACATTGTGTCTCTTGAGATAACAGCGAGTACATCTCTTTTACATTTCGTTCCAATGTCTCTACTTTCCTGTGAAATGCCAACGCCTCGTCCTGCGTCTCCTGCAGCTTCTGGTCCTCGGCCCTTTTGATGTTTTGGAGCTCCTCCAACATGAACAGCATCTTTTCCATCTGACCAACATGTGTCCTTGAATCCTTCAATCTACAAATAAAAAGATCTGTGGGTCAAAGAGATTTAAAACACTTATTTACAGGAGTAACATCTTATCAGTGTCTTCACCTGAGGTTGGACAGGACGGCCTTCTCCTCGCGGACTTTGTGCAACTTAGCCTGCAGGTTCACGATGGCTTGGTTAAAACTGAATGTCTCTCTTTCAGGTTGATCGCACGTCTGTGTTTGAGAGGGTAAAATAATACATTACATAGAGAAAGCATTACCAATTGTGTATTTCAGACAGCATCAAACTAACAAGATTCACGACTGGAAAGAAAGTATGAACCTTGTTGAGCTGCAAGTCAGACAGCTGTTGAATACAGTCATCTATTGCAGTTCCCAACACCTCGTTTCCAGGAGAGCTGATTTCCCCTTGGTTTAAATGATCCAGATCACAGACCAGGGGCTCTAGCTGCTGGTGGGCTGAAGGAATAGTGGAATCCCCAGGTGAATCATCTGCCAAAAGAGCAAAGAAGGTTTAAAATACACGCAGTGTATGTTGTCAAAGATAAGGTTTGGTGAAACATGCATCTTTGCAGCACTTACATGGGTTGAGCTTTTGCTAATGTTGAATTATTTTTTAAATACTTTGCTTTCCAGTGTTTTTTCACTACCCATCTGTATATCTAGTCAGGTGATTTAGGTTTTAGAATAAGCTTCGGCTTTGGTCATTGTATCATAACGTGGGTGGTATCACCACTTAGGGTGCTTTTCAGTAATTGTATCATAAAGTAGGAAAAATGAATAATCCCTACTGAACACGTTATTTTTGTCATCTCACTGCTGCGTGACGCTGCTTGTACTCACAATAGTTACTGTGGTTGAGACAGCTTTGTCCAGGTGAGCTGTGGATGCCGTATGTGCAGCCAAACCTCTCCACGGTTATTTTGGTTTCATTTTCCACCTCTTCTTGAAGCCTCTGTGTTTCCTTGGTGCGCCTGTCAAGCTCCTTGCTATAACAAAGGACGAAGAAAAAGAAATTAGGAGGGATGGAGAGCCATAGCCATAGTGATGCCATAGACATAGTGCTGTCTATTTCCAGATGTGAAACTACATTTGAAGTATGTCCAATACTTCAAATTTAGAGATCAGGTCAGTAGCTGTTGACATTATTTGGTTCATTTCGACCAGGTTGTATTTTGATCATATTGTTTATTGTATGCAACATGTTTTGTGGCTGTATTTTTTATAACTTAGGACAGTTTTATGTTGTCACTTTGATTGCCATTTTTTAAATCAAATCAAAATAAATCTTGAACTAAAGCAGTGGCTGCTGATGAGCTGTGGTTGAGCTGAAATATCAAATGAGCAAATGGCTGCAATGCATTTGGTATTTGGTAAACATATTGCATGAAGAGTTGTTCATACCTTAATTCATCTAGAGTCATGCTGTTAAATCTCAGCCTTGGAGAGGCGCCATCATGGGTCTCTGTAAAGAACAAGTTGAACAAATGACTTGAAGAGCTGAACAATTCAATAACAGTAGTTTAAATCCAACAGAGATTCCCCTCTGCCTTAATCTAGCGGCAGTTAGCTTCACAGTAACCTACCCGTAGTTCCTGCTCGTGTTAGTTTTCTATGGTTCGGTGGAGATTCAAATTGCAAAATTGTATTGCTGGAAGGCTGAATACTGTGAGGACCGGAGGGCTGAACGTCCGATGACATATCTGTTCACATCCGGAACCTAACCTATTAGTTAAGTTCAAGCTATACCTCCTCGAAGCTAACATCAACAGCTAGCATTAGCCACTTAATTGTCATTGATGATAAAGTTCTATCACCATGGAAACAGCATCTTTGGCTACTTCCTACCTAGCGTAATGCTAATCAATAATTCGATGTAACTCGGTGCTAATGCGTAACATAGTTAACATTGTTTGACTGCGGAGGTTAGTGAGGTATTTTGTTTAGTAAAGCTGATGTTGAAATGACCGCAAAAGTAACGTTAGCGCCGACACTTTGAAATATTCCGCCAACATCCGCTTTCCTTCCCGAACAGTTCATGACGCAACCACACGACGCAGAGGCGTTTTCCCGTGGTGCATGATGGTCATTGTAGTTTACGGTTGTTTGTTTATTCAGGGCGGACCCTCTCTTTTCAGCAGGGATCAAGGGTCTTGTTTTTTTAACATTTACCGACCACCATCGTACTCAAGATGGAAATGTGAAGAGCTGAAAACTGTATTTAAGTTGCAGCGCTATTATTTCCTGCACGTCGGCGGCTTCTGGGCAAAGTAAGACGAAGGGTTGTTGATTTACGATAGCAAGCTAACGGTAGTTAGCCAATGTTGGCATTATTTATGTTTCTGACGAGTTCAGTTTTTTTGGCATTTATGGATGTTGTAAGTTATTATTTCAAGATTCGATCAAAGTTTAATAATTCAGGCTCTTCTGAAATGTGTAATAGTGACCCAGTTATAGGTGACCTGGTCTACATTTAGCCCAAATCAATGCCAATATTGACTTTGATTGTGTGAGTGTTAATAATGTTGTACACATTATTCCCACTATTTAGTTTATTATACTTGTATAACTATGTTATAATTAGATATGGTCAGGAATGTGTTGTTTTGGGGCGGCTGGGGAGGGGGACACTATTTACATGCAGACTCTCCCTTGCATCAATGCAGATGGATTGAAATATGTTGTTTTCCAGGATGAGGATTATTCAAGCCATTGACAGCGTGCTCCTGAAAGAGTTGAAGTCATGTCGTGCAAAAGAGTACAACTTTCTTCCCAGAGAGACTGGCCTGAGGATGATGGAGTCAGCTTCCACAGAGGTAACCCGCTGAGCCACGTTTACATATCTTTGGTGTCGGTGCAGGCTTATGGGATTGCTAAAATGATATTCATTTTACCAGCGATGTCAATCTAATGTATCGTGGTATATTTTCAGAATCACAGCGGAGTGTCTGCGAAATGCAGGGACACCAGAGTGGAAGAACTGTGGGGTCTGACCAGTTTCTTTGGCTACAGCACTCAAACATTTGTTCAAGCTGTCAATTTGCTTGATAGATTCCTCGCCATTATGAAGGTAGGAATATAGTGTTGTTTCAAGTTACAACATTGGATGTTTTGCATCACCAGTAAGAAGGAAACCACAAAGACTTTGTTTGACCGTGAATCATGGGATGTAGACTCACACTCTCCCTGTTGTCCTTGTGTCAGGTGCAGCCCAAACACTTGCCCTGTATTGGTGTCTGCTGTCTTCACATTGCAGCGAAAATGGTCGAGGAAGAGAACAATGTCTCGCCCACCCACGAACTCATTCGCATCAGCCAAAGCAAGTTCACTGTGTCCGACCTGTGTCGCATGGAGAAGATCATCTCAGAGAAGCTCAGTGTGGAGCCCGAAGCAGTGACGGCTTTAACTTTTCTTCGCCTCTACTACCCAACCTTCACGTTCCTGCCTACTGAAAGGTAAACATTTAATTGAATTGTGTGTACTCGTGTTGTTATTGCAGATGCATTGCTCCAGTTGGTATGGAGTTGGTCAAATAGATTCTGCTTTGTGAGCTTTGTACTGGCGGATCACATTAGGATTCCCTCTATATTTTAAGGGAGGAGATCCCAAGCATTGGGAGACTGGAAGCCCAGCTTAAAGCCTGCTTATGCCGACTTGTTTTCTCTAAAGCAAAAGTAAGGATTGTTCTAAGGTGACAATTTCACAGTATATTAGCATTCACACTTTGAGTCCCAGGACTTACTGATATGCTACTTTTCTCGTTTACAGCCATCAGTGCTGGCACTGTCCCTCATTGCTCAGGAGTTTGAAGCCCTCCAGTCCATCAACTTGTCCAAGATTGTACAGCAATTCCAAAGACACCTGAAGGTATAAAAAGATTTTTTTTCTCAATTCATTTATAATTTTTGCTCTGCAAAATGTCTGCATATATAGTGAAACATGGCCATCACATGTTATTAGAAGAATATCATGTGAGAAGAATGTTTTGTTTTGTCTGTCCAATAGTCTAAAACCAAAATATATACAGGTTGACTAGAAAGACTAGAAAATAGAATAGAATAAAAAAATATTTTTTATAAGCTTCAAATTAAATGTTTTGTTTCTGTCATTTGTTTGCCGTAGTGTCTGCTGTCTATATTCTTGATTAAAAAAAACATCGAGACAATTATTTCTCTGTGTTTCTCTGGACTTTTTTCGTCCACTGCTGAGAGATTCCATAGTTCATTTTTTGTGGCATTATTTTAACACCACACTATGTTTTTTTAAGAAATATTGAGCAGCATTTAAGGCTCTTATGTGGCTAATATGCTTAAGTTTGTTTTTCTTACTCCTCCAATTCCATCATTTCTTAAGTCTCTCAGCTTTGTATTATAAATACTTTGAAATTGTACAATGTGGCATGTCAGTGTCACGGTCTGATCACGTGCACGTATCGTATGTGGAAAAACACTTGTTGATGACGGTGTAGTCAAAGACTATTTCTGTCTGCAGCCTCTCAGATGTTTCCTGTTTGTCTTCTTCCCAGATCAGCGACAGCGAGCTGCTCCACTGGAAGGAACTCGTGGCCGAATGCATGACTGAATACTGCTCAAGCGAATGTAACAAACCAGACAACAAAAAACTCATTTGGATCGTTTCCAGGCGAACGGCCCAAAATCTTAAGGCCAATCACGTCAGTGTGCCCGGCCTGCCAACTATTCCTGAGGGCATCTGGGACGAGAGTGAGAGGTTAATAGTCCCGTTTTTCCATTTGCTTCATGCTGAATTTCCTCTGATTGAATAAACTGTGCTGTGATGATGAGATATTGAGGAACGCGGTCTTTCCTGAATGCCAACAGACTCATTTTTAAGTCCTCAAATTCATGACTCAGCAAAATCACAGCTGTTAACAGTAATTAAAGACAAGAAGTTTTATTTTCGAGTTGAACTGTATCCATGAATAGTTAAGTGAGTACTGGAGTAGACAGTCTTACCAACCCAAAAGCCTTAATTTGCTAAAATCATCATTCTGTCATTTATTACCTTAGTTGATATCACTCTGAACTATGGCTGCAACTAACAATTTCTTTCTCCGTTGAGTCGTCCGTATCATCAGTCTATAAAATGTCAGCAAATAGTGCAGACGGGCCATCACAGTTCAACAGAACCCGAGTTGACGTCTTCTAATGTCTTGTTTTGTATGACCAACCTTCCAAAAGACGAAGAGATTCAGTTCATAATGCAAAACAGCAAAAAAAAAAAAACTGGAATTAGTGAAACTTGATGTTTCCTCTTGAGACATGACTTAAATATTTAATTAATCATCAAAATTGTTGTAGATTAAAGGGGATTTCCAGCAATGTTGTACTGCACAATAGCATCTTTTCATGAGACCCTCCCTGTAAATAGCCACATCTTTTAAACTCTATCTTTTTGGGGGGTTTTTGTGAACATTTTTCTCCAAGCCAAAGCAGAGACAACACCAGAGTTATTGTCTCGGAGTTCACGAAACGCCTCCAGAACCACAGAAGACATCTGTCCGTTCACTCGTTGATTCATCGGCTACTTGTTTCAGCTCTACCCTGAAGCACTGAGTATTAATGGCCTCCTCTTCTCTCTTAGTGAGGACTCCTGTGAGGACATGAGCTGTGGAGAGGAAAGCCCGTGTGGCTCGCCAGGAAGTGACAGCGAAGGAGCCTTCTTCCCCTCCACCTTTCTCAACCGCAAAAAGTGACGTGTCGTCATTGTGCAGTAGGGACGGTTTGTCCCCTAAACTGTATCCGATTTAAGGTAGTCACCATGTTTCTGAGCAACTTGTCCTACCACCTTAGGTACGACAAGTGGCGGGTTTTAATCATTAAGTGCCTGTGTTGATTCAGTTTACTGTCGGTTTTTTTTAATGTTTAAAAAGAATACATATCCTATAAATGCAAAATGGAAAATTGCAATATATTGGCAGCTTGACGGTAATGCGTCTGAATGTCTTTTTCCGAGATGTTCTCTTTGTGTTTTGTTTGTGTCCGAGCTCGGCACATTCATGGAGAATCCGTGAAGCACAAGGGATAACTTGTGGTACACTCACTGTTGAATACCATCTAACACACTACCACATCCTCCATCTTTTTTTAAACCTGTTTTTCTACTCAATATCTACATATATAAAGTATTCCGCCAGAATATATTACACTTATGTACACAATATGACATCTTAGTGTGAAAATACCAGATTGTTTATGCATGGATACATTGAAATATGTGATTATGAATGGATGTTGTTCATGTTTACCAAAATAAGCTTATTGTAAAAAAAAAAAATGTTTAAAAAAATGTATATAAAATGTAAAAAACAAAGAAGGAACAAATTGTATGTTTTGTGAACTCTACATACTGTGTGTTGTATTTGGATATCATGTGGAAGATGTTGGAAGGGTCAGAAAAAATCCCTCCAAATAAAAGAAGTGCTTTTCATCCTCTTGTTTTCACTTGCTTGTGTTTTGAATTGTCCACTAGTGGTGAACTGGGGTGCTGCCAAAAAATGTGGTGTTGATATCGCATGGTAACTCTTTGAGACCAATCTGAAACACTGACTTATTCTGGTTCACTTAAAAGTCATATAGAGAAGAACTGTAACATGAGATGATTTCATCATATTTTAAAATGTTCATGTGCCCTCAAGACAAACACAAACCACATGCTGAAGGGACGGGACTTCATCTTATATCCTGCAGTATAATTCATGCATGACACCCTCAGGAGTTATGCATTAGTTATGCATCAAGCATGTCTTCCTGTTGCATTCAAAATGTCATAAGTATATACTCATTATGCAGAACTGCCTATTTCACAATAATATTTATTATATTATCGGGTTACAATTATTGATACATTAATGCGTACACCACTATAATGTCGCAGCTGATAAAGATTGAGCTAATTTCACTTACTTCATACACTGCTCCATATCTTAGTAAATGATAATACATCATCGTTTATTTGTTGATTTATTTTAATATTAATTATCTGAATCTACAATCTAGTAACTAGCTATGAAACAAATTCCTTTCCTTCCATAAGGAATGACTCAAGTAAAGTACCTCAAATTCATTCAAAACCAATAGTGGAAGAAGTTCTCAAATCTTCTGCTTGAGCAAAAGTAAAATAACTCACCTTGCAGAATGGATGGCCCATTTCAGAGTAAATTATGTTACATTTTTTAAATATAATTATTGATGCATCCATGTGCATTACTTTATGTTACCGTTGGTAAAGGAGGAGTTCATTTGTGTATTATTTTTAACTTGATACCGCTCCTCCCTGGGGATCATTACAGTCTCATCCTAACCAATAATGACACATTCCTTTTTATTTGTTTTAAAAGCTATAGTATAAAGAAACAACATGTGGAAATGCTAGTAAAGCACAAGCCCCTCAAATTTACTTGAGTAATGCTCGGATTAAAGACCGGAGGGCACAAGTTAGTGGATTTGTGTGATTTTTCCTCCCCCATCTCTCTATTTCAATCCCATTTAATTCATTATTGGACAAGCTTTCCTTTACGCTGAGAGCTGCAGAGTGTGTGTGTGTGTGTGTGTGTGTGTGTGTGTGTGTGTGTGCGTGAGTGTGTGTGTGTGTGTGTGTGTGTGTGTGTGTGAGGAGCTGATGATGCTACTTCTCCTGGTGGTGGACGGGGCTTGTCTTTTAGCGGGCTGGGTGTGTTGACACGCATTTTTGCTCCATCTCCATGATTAAACCGGCAGCCTGGAGGGGAGTTGCCGCGGAGAGTGAAGCAGCAGCAGCAGCAGAAGCAGGAGAAGAAGAAGAAGAAGCAGTCAGGGGGAATGAAAGAGGACCGAGCCGCGGCATCTTCACCATGCAGACGACTACCACCACCAGCCGTCTATTTTATTCGATTATATGAGCCCACGAGCGCCCGTTTGTCTGTATCTCGGAGGCAGGCAGTGTGCCGACCCGGCGATTACAACATAGGCCAACGCCTCGCTGCAGCTTCATACAGGGAATGAAAACGCACTCAAGATGGTCCGCATCGCCAAGGCCCTGGGTTTGGTTATTCTGTGCGTCGCCGTGCTCATACTGTCGCTCATCAGCTATGTGTCCCTTAGAAGAGACAGCCTCTTCGGCTCCTCCAAATACTACATGGGAGGTCCGCGGATCATGTTCCACGCAGGATTTCGGTGAGTGATATTCGTGGTTGTGATGCAGAAAATTGTTGTTGTTGTTGTTGTGAATGTAAACACAGAGGAGTCGGGCCTTGTGTGCACGATTCAACCTGGATGTGATCTACCAGCTCAACACATCACTTTCCCCCTCAATTTGGGCCAAATGCTTCCTGTCAATCAAACGATGGTGAGCTGTCCGAGGTGCTGATGTTGTTGCTATGGGCGATGCATGTCGTAACAGTACGTGTACTGTAAACGCTTGCATCATCAGCAACATCACATCCAATTGAGGCAGCTCAAAATACATATTTCTCAAGTACTGTGTTGAAGTATAATTGTTCAGTACTTTCTCAATATTTTAAGGGAAATATTGTATTTTGTACACCGCTACATTGCATCTTTCTCTATACTTCTCCTGTACACTATACATTTCAGAGGGAGATATTTTACTTTTCCATCCATCTAATCTGCCGTTGTAAATGTTAGTAAATTGTCAATAAATGGATTTTGGTCCAGATCCAATGCAGACCTTTTCCAGGAGGTATAAGAAGTCTAAAGGGTCCAACCAGTCAAAGTCATTTTCCACAACCTGACAACCCGAACGTTATTGACCCATAAAATCAGATTAATAAATTAGAGATGAATGAATTGCTTTAGATGTATTAAAATGGGTTTCCACTGCTGTTACATTTACAAGATTAAAACACATATTTGTTAAACGTAGAGAATCAGAATCTGATGATTTCTAAGGAGTATGTGATTATTGTAATGGCAAAATATATTTTAACCATGTGCTTCTAATCAAATGTATATTAAAGTGTCTGCTAAGGAAAAAGAGGAAAGGCAAGTAGAAAACACTGCCTGCCCTTCCTGTGAAGTCGACATCTAGAACTACTTCTGTTTCTTAGAGTTTCGAGAAAACTAAGCTAAGCACAAAGGTCCGTTTTGGGGCGCCTACACAGGCCAGTTGAACCCAGTTCTGCTTCACATGCATATAGAACTTCTGCTATATGACTCATCTTGGGTGTTACTTTGTCTGTATGTGCATAAAACGACATGTCCATCGATCACTGGCAGAAGCTTTTTCGCAGTACACTGAGATACGTGTCTGCTGAACCGCTCTCTTGCTTGCAAGCAATAAAGACGAAAACTTTGATTCTCTCAAGACTCTGTTTATTGACATAGATTGAAAACCTTGACTCTTCTCCCGATTAATCATAGAAATCTTCCATAACATTATGTCCAACATTAATGGTTTTCGGTGGCTTTATGAAAAAACTCCTTGTTTTCCTCAGAATAACCAGAACGATCTATGTGGATCTCTTGTTTTAATACCTCAGAAAAAATATTAATACCAAAATTTCATTAATCCTCTTTAAAACAAGACCAAACAAAAACAAAGAAGAGAGTAGTTCACACAATGGAGTCTCAGGTTTATATGTCTTATGATGTTTTTCCACAGGTCTCAGTTTGCCATGAATTTCCTGGACCCCTCCTTCATCCCGTTAACTAACGCCCTGAATGAGGAGCTCCAAGGAAAACCGTCCAAATGGAAGTTCAACAAGACAGCTTTTTATCTGCAGAAGTGAGAGATTTTAATTCTGAACTATTTTCCACTTCTTCTTCTTCTTCTTCTTCTTCTTCTTCTTCTTCCTCTTCTTCCTCTTCTTCCTCTTCTTCCTCTTCTTCTTCTTCTTCTTCTTCTTCTTCCTCTTCTTCTTCTTCTTCCTCTTCTTCCTCTTCTTCCTCTTCTTCTTCTTCTTCTTCTTCTTCTTCTTCTTCTTCTAGTATGTGTCTTCTTGCAGGATAAACAGCAGGGGTTGCTCTGTCAGAGCTTACGTTAAAGGGAATATATCAAAAGACACCAGAGGACAAACAGTTCCATCTTGGATTCTGTAAGAAAGTTGGGTTTCTATTGGGTGGTAGAAAGTAACTAAGTACATTTACTCAAGTAATGTAAATAAGTAGTAATTTGAGGAACTTGAACTTCACTTTAGACTTCTACTCCACTTCATATCAGAGTGAAATATAGTATTTTTTTTACTTCACTACAACATTTTGACATTCTTAGTTACTTTACAAATTGACAAAACATACAAAGAGTCTATAAATCAATTAGTCAATAGAAAATTAAATGGAATGGCTACTATTAAGAGTCATTTTCCAGGCAAAACATTTTCATGGTTCCCGCTTCTCAAATGTGAGAAATTGCTACTTTTCCTTTTAATAATTTGCTTTTTGTTTTTTTTAAACAATTTTGAGGTTTGGATGTTGGTTGGACAAATGAAGGATTGTGAACTTTGGGTAATTGTGATGCATTTCTCACTATTTTTAGATTTGTTATGAACCAAACAATTAATCGATTAATGGAGAAAATAATCAGCAGATGAATTCATAATAAAAATCATCATTAGCTTTGCAGTCCTAAACTAAAAAGTAAAAAATGTGCTCCACCTCAACTCAACTACAACAATAAGATCCTGCTTTTACACATTAATGTGTGAGTAATAATAATCCAATATCATATATATGATTTATTATACACTATTTTCTTCTTTGCAGTATTGCTGCTATTACTAAAGTAAAAGATCTGAGTACTTCTTTGACGTATGCCTGTCCCAGTGTTAAAGTGTTTTTGTCTCTTTTCAGGAAAGATATCTTCAGCTACATCGACATTCCCACCAACTTCTCCCTCACAAAGAACAGCGTGCGTGTTGGCCAGCTGATGCACTTTGACTACTCCAGCCACAAGTACGTCTTCTCCATCAGCAACAACCTGAAGTCCCTGCTCCCAGACTCCTCTCCCATCCACAACAAGCACTACAGCATGTGCGCCGTGGTGGGCAACAGCGGCATCCTGACAGGAAGCCACTGCGGTCCTGAGATCGACCAGGCCGACTTTGTCTTCCGCTGCAACTTCGCCCCCACGGAGATCTACTCCAAGGACGTGGGCAAGAAGACCAACCTCACCACCTTCAACCCCAGCATCCTGGAGAGGTACTACAATAACCTGCTGACCATTCAAGACAGGAATAATTTCTTCCTCAACCTGAAGAAGCTGGAGGGAGCCATCCTGTGGATCCCTGCCTTCTTCCTCCATACCTCAGCCACAGTAACCAGGACCCTGGTGGACTTCTTTGTGGAGCACAAGGGACAGCTGAAAGTCGAACTGGCCTGGCCGGGAAACATCATGCACGATGTCAACAAGTAAGAGTGTTGATCTGATTGGTAGTTCAGATTTTGTCAACTGACGTGACTTAAGAAGCTAACTGGAAAGTATAATCAGGGCCACAACTCTGGAGTTTACATTTAACAGTTGAAAACGTACCCATGGTGGATTTTACTTTACTTTAATTGCTTTCATTTGACTAATTTTAGGCCAACAAGATTAATATGTAAAGACGTTGCACTGGGTATTGCTTATATATTATATCTTATTTTATGGAATATTAACATGTTACAGTAGAACAAACTGCTGTTAAATACAAAGCTTTGCCTAAATAACATACAGTCTAAAGTCAAACTGACAGGTTTCACGATTAGTTTTAGATTAAATGCATAAATCTTACCATTCATCTGATGCTTTTTCGATACTCAACTCTACAGACACATTTTGGTTGGCACCATTGGTTGGTATTATAGTACGATAACTGGCTTTATTATTATAATTGACAGTTACATTTTTGGTCACTTGGATGACAGCAGGAACAAGCTGCACAAGATTGAAAAATGAAATTACATTTTAAATTGATATGGCAACTTTGTTAACAGTTGCCTCTTTACACATCCATCAGAGTAACATTGGCATTCACTTGCAAGTGAATGCTAGTGTAGTGGAGTAGAAGTATAACATTGCATAAAATGGAAATACTTAAGTATCTCAAATTTGCAATTAAGCAAAGTACTATACTTGAGTCTGCATATAGACATAAGGGAAGTGGGACTATGGTGGATTATGGTGATGAAGGATTAATCGTGGTATTCTGCTCTCAGAGGTGTTTTAATATAATGTCTAATTTTGGATGGTTCACTTGTTTCCCCCCCCCCCACAGATTCTGGAAGACTAAAAACCTCTCCCCGAAACGTCTCAGCACCGGGATCCTGATGTACACGCTGGCGTCCGCCATGTGCGACGAGATCCATCTCTACGGCTTCTGGCCCTTCGGCTGGGACCCCAACACGGGCAATGATCTGCCTTACCACTACTACGACAAGAAAGGGACCAAATTCACCACCAAGTGGCAGGAGACCCACCAGCTGCCCAGCGAGTTCAAGCTGCTCTACAAGCTGCACAGGGAAGGCGTGATCAAACTCAGCCTGACGCACTGCTCCTAGACATGCAGTGGTTTTTAAGAGATGACTCCAGAGACCCAGATCCATCCGCTCTGCTCAAAACTTCTGTTGTGATCCACGATGCATGATAAGTGTTACGGCAATTTACGACACCCTCTTTCGACAAACACACACTCACATCGCGCTGTAATTTCACATGAAGATGTCACAGACTTGTCACAGCGTTGTCATTCATTTATTCGGTATATGGTTGTCTTCAGCACTACACAGTTAGCACTTTTTACGCTGCTCTGTTGCTTCCATTACGCTCCTTTGCATGGCTGCTGGCCGTGGCTAAACAGCACGAACAGAACTATTGTAACTGGAGTTTGCGAGGGGGATTCAACGCAAAGTCAAATCTTCCAGTTCTGTTTAACACAGTGTTGATTGATTAATAGCCTTTTACAACAGTATACTGATTCTGTACACTGAAATCACTGCCTAATCTCAGGGAAGGAGTTAGATCAGTGTTTTTTTGTAATCAGATTCAAGGCCTCAAGAGAGGTGAATTTCCTGTTTTCAGGCCTTTGTCCCCCAATCTGAGGTGTCAGACAATCTGCACTGCTCTGGAAGATGGTATTTGTTTACTGTACCCTATATATATACCGTATATATCTATAAATATATATGTACCGTATTTATATATGTGTACTTGTGTGTCTTTTATTTTCTGTAGACAGTGTGACTGTCCACTTCAAATGTTTTGGAGATTCTTCAAATTTTTGGAATAATGTTTGACATTCCAACAACAAGCCATAAATTCATAGACGGACGATAGTGTGTTTTCATTAGAATGCAGAATTTTAGAAAGTGGTATTGGCCTACATTAGGTTTTGAGACTATAAGACATTTAAAAACATCTTCCAACAAGTCTATTGCCACGCTAGTAGCTACATTTAAGTCACAGAAACTTGATTTTCTAAAACATATATACCTAAAATGTTGTTTACCTAACTAACCTAACTGGCATATCATATTGTATGTTTTGCATTTTTGTGACGTGCAGTTTCATATCTCCAAAGTTTACATTATTGCACAGTTCAGGTGTGTCAAATCAATATGATCTTCTTTACTCTTAAACCTAAACAGGTCTTATATTAGCAAGCTAACATTGGCTTTGTCAGTTGGTTCAATTAGCTATGCCAAAACTATTGGCTGTTGTAAAACCTGTTTTGATTGAGTAAACAAGCGGGAGCAGAGGGTACCACAGTTTCTTGTGACCTAAATCATGGCGCTAACGTGGCGAAGAACATCAGGAAATACAACATTTTCGGACAGTTTCTTCAATATCAACAACTAAGGTTTACCACTATTTCAATTATGAAAAATACTAAAGAAGATAATACACTATTTATTATACAGATTTTGTTGACTGAGGGAAAAGTTATTTATTCACCGTGTAACCATATTGATTCCAATATTTGTGACGTAAAACGAAGAAGTGAATGAATGTTATATGACTTACTGCATCTCGTATAAAGAGCATGACCCATTTAAATTACATTGCATGTGAAGCACTAACAAACATTTTAGGCTAGTTTTATACAACCTTTTTGAAGATTGTTTTGAGGGTAAAAATTCAGTTCTTTGCTATTGTTTGTATTCCTGCTGGTGTATTCCTTAAGAATATCACCAGTGTCTTTTTATGAGAGGCGTTTGAAAGCTAAAAGTAGAACCCTAATATATTCCACATGGGACCAAACCTCTACAGATCAACTGAAAAATGAACAAGCTTTATTTTTTGTAACTGTAGATAATCTTGGGTTCTCAAAAACAGTCCACCATGTCATGCCAGACTGACGCAGACTGGTGGATATGGGGGGGGGGGGGGGGGGGCCGGCCACATGACTCGTCTCATGACTCTGAAACATGTGCTCCTCGTTGTAAACTCTCTGGCTTAGGCTGAGGTTTAATACACGGAGCAATGCAGGCATTTGCATTTACCAGATAGTAGTGCGTGTTTTTGTGCTCAGTCAGATTAAGCATGGTAGGAGTTTGCTCGACATCCCGTCCCACACAAAGCGTTTCTTTATGTCCGTCTCCTTGAGACAAGATGAACATTTCAGATTTATGTGTCTCGTCTCTGAATCACAGTGCAGTCGCCACTATGAAAATACATAACTGATAAAAAAAAATGTTTGTTTTGCTGAATTGTAGGCCATTTAATATGTCATAGATGTGTACATTTAAGGATAATCTCCGTACTCCGTCATTAGGAATGTTTTGTAGGTACACCAAAGACCTCGTGTTCAAGGGAGAAATGTTAGCTTGATACAGATTGTTCGGGGATTTTGGAAGATGTATGACAACTAACAAGTATTATTGTATAAGAAATCACTTTTTTGATGTTGAATTTGATGTTGAATCACACTTTTTGTGGCACACAAATCATTTTAAACTTTTAGATTGTTTGGCTTCAAGCCAAATTAATGTGGTGGTTTTTTCTTTGTGACTCCATGAATGTTGGAAAAATCCACTGACATGAATGCAGGTCATTTTACGTTTCTGTCTTATTGTAATCAAAATCAATGTATAGAATGTGTGTAAACCATAATGATGCTAACAAAGTCTGTGAGGATTGTATTTCCAGTCAGAATACCGGTATAGCTTTTAGTACATTACATGTAAATGACAATACAGTGACATATACATAACCTAAACATAAAATGTCTTTATTCCAAACGCAGCACTATACAGGATTTGTTCCAACAACCCTTTAACATTCTTGTACTTGTGTTCGATCTGCATGGCAATTTTGTTCCATAATGCATAAAAAAGCTTGGCTGCTTATGTACATGTCGTAAAAAAAAGTCATAGATCATGTAAGTGACTTTGCTATCTTGGTTGTTCTCACAAAAACGATCATTCATATAAGAAATGTAACCATGTCTTAAATGTTTTTTGATTATGCTCCATGATACATATACGCTATGTGCCTGCATATTCCTTCCATCAATGCCTCAATGTGTCAAATAAAAACTGTATTTTTCTCTGATAATGAATTTACTTTTTTTCTGAATAACAACCACTTGGTGCATTAAAAACATCGCAGTTTTTTTTACAACAACACCAATATTCACTTACTATATACAAATTGGTTATCTTGTACTCCTTTCCTTCCTCTCTCTCTCTCTTCTCACAATGCACAAGCTGTGAATAAATAACGTGACAGACAGCAGATGTCAAGTGAGGAATTCACACCTTAATAACAATATTGGGCCCGATTTCCTCTCAAGTATGGATAATCTGTCAGTTGATTTTGAGATCACACCTAGCAGGCCCCCTGGTGAAGCTCCAGCAAGCGGCAGCATTTCAAAAACACAGTGTCATTGGGGGCAAATGTGAAAAGAGTTGCTGCTGGTGGTAACATCAGCAGGCACACGTCCTACTGACAGGAGCCTCCTCGACATGGCTGGTGACGGGGCTGCCGTTGGGTTCAGAGCTGGGGCCCCCGGGAGTGCTCTGCTCCATCCTCTTCATCACCAAGTCCAGGAGGGTGGTCACCGCCTGGTCCACGTCAACGCCCGTCACTGCACTCGTCTCAAAGTAGGGGATGCTGACGAGAACCGAGAGAGGAGTTTATTGACATGTGTGTGTGGTTCTCAACCTTTTTTTCTGCCTTTTAACCCTTGTTAAATAGTTTGCACATGTCTATTAGTCCTGAGTAGTTCAAACATAACGTTTTATTATGAATCAAATATTCAACCCTCAGGAGGAAGATGAGTGGGGGAAGGTGGAAAACAGCTCACTAGCACCATCCTGTGGTGTACTGGTGAAAGAGGCAAAGTAGCGTCTAAGTAACCCTACTGTATTTAGTGCTTGGTCATCAAATATATAAAAATACACTTTATTATAATGAGAGTATGACAATCAAGTAGTATCACTTAAGTTATAAATATATATAAAATATCTAAGTAAATGACTGAGCCTTATGAAGACATAGCTATATCGTTCTTTGGCCCCTGAGTGTGGAGTAAGTGTAAAGCAGGTCAGGTGTTGTATATAAACTGGCTCAGCAGAGGGCAATCGGTGTCTGCTTAGATTAGTTTCATGTGTTTCGATATTTAGAGTCTGACGAAAAGAAAAAACAGGATGTTTTAGCGTCCCACATCAGAAGCGACATCAGTGATATTCATCTCCACTACACTTCACACACTGCCTTTAACATGTGCCGTCTCTAACAATAGTGCTGTATGTAATGCCTCACCCGTATCTGTCTGCCAGATCTTTGGCCTGTCTCGCATGAACATCCCTCACATCCCTCAGGTCTGCCTTGGTGCCCACCAGCACCACGTCTGGACTGTCACAGTACGCGTTGGCCTGCAGCTGACCTGAACCCACACAGAGGAAGTCATTTAAACCCATGAAATGCAAATAGACGCGCATGAGCAGACTTTAAGCTATGTTAGTCAAGTTTCTCAAACTCTCTCTCAACTGCAACTCACTATAGCGGCAACACGAGAGAAAACATTGATCCAAAAGAGTATTGAGCTGCAGCAGAGCAGTGCTGCTGAGATGACACATACTCATCCAGTTCCTGACGTTGAGGAAACTTTGCTGATTGGTCAAGTCGAACATCAGCAGGAAGCCCATGGCGTCTCTGAAGAAAGCGGTGGTGAGGCTGCGGAACCTGAAAACAGGTTTTTATTTTTTTTACATTTGTAAAGCTCCACTATTTAGCCCAGACAGAAATATCTCAGCAACTGTCGGATAGATTTTCATGATATTTTGAAAAGACATTCATGGGCCCCAGACGGTGAATCCTACTGACTATGGCAACCCCCTGATTTTCCCTTTAGCACCCCCATGAGGTTGAGATTTGTAGAACTGTTGGATGGATTGGCATTCAAAATTTGGTACAGATGAACTGCAAATATGTTGGTGACCAATCAGAGCAGACTGGGATTTTTTGGGAGGGGGCCTTATAGAGAACGGAGCTAAAACGGAGCGTTTTTGGAGGGTCAATAAATATAGTTATATGCAGGCAGACTGAATGATAAAAATGTGTTTAAAAAAAATCTAAGTATGTAAAGATTTTCTAGTAGATAACCAAAATAAAAGTATGAACCTGGAAATTAACATAATATCTCCTTTAATGTTTCCTCTTGTGCCATCACCAGGTCCACCTTGGTTTAATATACATACATATAAAAAAATGTGCCAATGCTGGTCAATGAGTTACTGGCTTTTAGCCCATTTATTCTCAGTGTCCCCCTCTAGGAGTTACAAAAGCCAGACATTTGGGATTTTAAATGAATTTGTCTAATATTAAAAAAAATTGTGAACATAAAGATTAGATTTACCTCTCTTGTCCCGCTGTGTCCCAAAGCTGAAGGTGGACTTTGAAGTTCTTCTCAGTCGTCCCATCTGCACCTGTCCCAGTGTACATCTGAACCAAACCGCAGGACAAACCTCTGCACTGAGTTATATCCATTTTAGTCAAGAATCCTCCTAGTATGCGTGCACCTAAACATGTTAGATACCAAGCATCACTCACCACTCTCTTTTCCCTGAAGTCGATGCCCACTGTGGTTGTGAACTTGCGGTTGAACTTGCTGTCGGTGTAACTGTAGAGGAAGGAGGTCTTTCCCACCCCCGAGTCCCCGAGTGCCAGCAGCTTGACCAGATAGTCATAGTCCCAGTCAGCCATAGTGCAGCAGAGTGCTCAACCTGCCACAAAGGTGCACTCACAGTACAATGATGCTGGTTTGATGGATCATGAACCATGGGAGTTTTAGAGAGAGCTTGCACAAGTAAACACTAACAAAGACATGCAAAACAGTTCCACCTATAAGCTGCAGTTTTCAGTCTGAGGGTGGAAGACCATCACACAGGTTTAGCAGGACGTCATAACTCCCCTACTCATGAGGCTCTGATCAGTGAAGGGGCTAGCACATGACTTGAGCTGGCTTCCACATGAGCAGTCAAATGTCTCGCCAGTTTTTCCCCAGACTATGCTGAGTGAAAAACACGGGCCTGTTTGGCGGACAAAACTCCTTTTATTGACTTTAAGGGCTACGGGCAGACGGCTCAACACTGCATGACGCCGCTCGAATCACAGCAACGCTTCGGTTACACTTAACAGCTCAGACAGGCTGTTTGTTTACGTAAGAGATGGATGAAGAATACCATTCATTTCCTTTAGCAGATTCAAAATTTAGGGTGCATGAGTACATTCAGGATATAGTCATGGTCAACTCTGGCAGGACATGGGATACTACCATGAAATATAGTCATTTCCCATGTGCATGCTTAATTATTGTATTCTTTGCAATCAGCAGTGTGAGTATGAGTTTAGTAATCAACCTGTAATCAGTCTCAGTGTTTATCTTACAAAACTCTATCAAACACTATTTTGAGGATTTCCTCAGAAAACCTTCTGACAGTTTGACTTAAAATGACATTAAAAAAAGTAACCTTACCAGTCTATCTGGAGGAAGTGCCAACACGCATTCAGACGTTGCTCAACTTGTCCTGATTGCCTAAAATAATCTCATTGGTGATGCGATGGCACATCTGAACCTTTTCCCCACAACTTACATGTGATCCAGGGAGGAGTTTCAGGTCAGCAGGAACTGAGCGGGGCTGTGCTTACAGACCTTGTGTTTTCTGGTATTTCACATGAGGGTTAAAAAAAAAAAGGCTCTTTGAAAAGTGGATGTCAACGAATAATGTGAGCCTCTGTGGATTTCAGTGGAAATCGTCCAACCAAGTAATGAGGGCCCCACTTCTAGAGGCTAAGCAAAATAATCCTGCTTCTCCAAACAATGTGAAAACAATATCAAAACAATAAACCTGAAGCTAAGGACCTCATTTAGGATAGCCGGAAGATTTGGGAATTTACTTTAATCCATGTTTACAAATAGTAACATAAGGTAAACGGAGATTTCACAAATAATGTTCAAGGCTCAGACAAATCAAGCAGTTTGGAGATATTTTGAAATCAATATTCAGTTTTATAAACAATATATATACAATTCTTATTTCCAAAACAGCAACTGACATGCATATTAATACTGACATACAGGGGTGGACCAAAAAAAAAAGAGAAACACAAAAACCACCTTGGTCAAGCTCAAACTATTTTCTGTTTTTGTTGGGACCAATAGTGGAGTGAAAACATGAATTCAAGACTTTAGAGGCAGTTCACTTTCTAGCTTCTTCTAAAGCATTCAACCACTGCTGAGATACAAGTTAAAGGCCGTTTTTTAAAGTGCAATGCAATTTTCATATTTTTGGCAAGATCTTTTAGACTTTTCCCAAATGTTATCGTACATAATGTTGCTGCATTTGTAAGTGATGTATCAGAAATCATTTTCCTGATACCTGTGGTCCTCAATACTTGTGTAGTTGCCTTTTAAATTTAGTGTAGTGTCACCAAAAAAGCCTATTTGCTATTGTACAGTTAAGCGTTTCTTTTATTTTGTCCACGCCCTATATACACACACATCACCTGAGAACGAGAAATAACATAACAGAAGAGTTTGTCATAAATGACCTCTAGCAGAAGCTTTGCTTCGCCCTCTAACTGGGTTTGAAATACTTTAACAGATTGTTTGCCTGACTGCCTTTTCCTGCAGCCTTTCTGTCTTTGGTCATCAAGCTTCTCCCTGGTTTCCTGGATGAGGGCGTCTTCAGGACCGGCTTCTGTTGCTTCCATCCAGACATCAACTCCTTCTGAACTTCTGGCGGAAGCTCTGAAAACACCTTAGGGTCCACATTTCCTGGGAAGTCACAGTCAGAAGACCGAGAGAATGACGGTCTCCCTTCTTCCGTGGCGTTTTCTCCCAGAAATGCACTTGTGCCCGCAGGCCTCTGATTCACGGTAGTCGGCCTGCCAGATGGGTCCAATTTCTCCACGGCCTCTTTGATGCCTTTTATATTTTGTGAGTCACTAAATGACTGAGGAGACTTGTTTTTTGTTACGTTGGGGACATTGACGACAGCAGGGGAGCTCGTTGAATGACCGGGGAGAGAGTTTGTGTAGGCAGGAGATAACAGCTCCTTCTGAATTTCCTCAGGGAGAAGCCTGAACACTTCGGGGTCAACATTTGGGGGCAATCGATGCGTCACCGAGATTTTTGGGTCCGACCTCGCTGTGCTGCAGGATTCTTTCTGAAGCGGAGGGTTCTTTACAGCAACAACAGGCCTCTGTTTTCTTTTAAACCCATATGATTCTGCCCCAGAGCTACAAGGGCTTTCTGAGGTTACCGTCTTTTGAGGAGGGGTAGGTTGAGTAATCACGCTGTGCGCACTCAACTGATGATCCGTATTCCCACTCTGAGAGGAAGCATCCTATTGGAGAAGGAAAGAGGAGGAGGAGAACTAATTATTTCAGGAAACACCATTTCTAAGAAGAGAGAATCCTGTCGGCATCATTTAACAGCACAGTGCGACAGAATAAGACCTCTCTCAGCATAAAGTAAGCATTGTATACTGAAGACTTCTTAGGACCTTTTTAATACCACAAACAATCTCTATTTTTCGAGATCATACTGTCAAAAGTAAGATGGAAAACCAGTGCCAATTTAAAAATAATGAATGTGCCCTTTGTGCCCATCGTAAAAAGCTTTGATGAATAAATGGTAAATGGACTTATTCAGCGCCTTTCTAGTCTTCAGAACACTGAATTTAATGTTTTTGAAAACTTTTCAAGACCTGCAGATACCCTGATGTACATGATCGGTAACGGTAATAAAAAGCCAGATTATGCTAGATTACGTCACTGTGTTACCTGGCTTTGTGGTGAGAAGATTTGTGTTTTCCTGGGAGACGAGCTGTGTGTGAAGAAAGATGTTATAGAGCCCTTTCCACTGACGGCGGCTCCCCTGGTCTGCAGGTTACTGAAGCAAACGTTGATGAGAGTGAGGTGGAAGGCGGCGCTGCGGTCCACCATCTTGTGGAAGAGCTTCATGGCCAACGAGACCAGCTGGACCACAGCGTCATCACCGCTGTCTGTAGAAACATGACAGAAAGCAATGCTTTAATGACGAGCAGAGCAGCTTTTAAAAAGGTCTTTGACAGAATATAAGGACTCAAAAAAGGCATCGTTTGTGAGTAAGCCATCCTGACCCGTCTCAGGTGGGATGTGTTCTTCCTGGTGCGTGAGCTTACCGGAGGTGATCTTCCGTCCTACGTGGTTGGGGATCGGACACTGTCGGCTCTCCCGACTGAACCACTTGTTGGTCGCCGAGTATCTACGGATGGTCAGCCGGAAGGTTTGAGGCTGCCTGCCATCTTTGTGCATCCTAGTTTTCAACAGATGATCTGAGGTTAGATTAAGTGGCTCGAGCTTTAAAAGATCCCCCCCAAATGACAGTTATCTCACCTCTCCAACAGACTGCTCAGGAGTTCTTGAATCTTTTCCAAAACCTCTTTAGTTGAGGACATTTTCTTGAAGGAGTCTTCGTCACTGAGAGACTGAAACATGAAGAGGATGCTAATTAGGGGAAAATAAGGTGAGATTGATCAAATGGGACAACAGTTACTTTGGTTTTTCCGACTGTCACAATAACTTTGAGCTAAGAAGATCCGGTCATTTCAGGGATGTCCTCGTCTACCTGAGGGGCTCCGGTGGGGGTGACAGGTGAGTCATCAACGCCGAGGGCCAGATTCTTCAAGCGCTGTGCACTGGGACCTCCAAACTCCTTCACCAAGTCGTTCAACGGGAAGAGCTGAAGATCTTTCAGGCTGACCAATCCCAGGGCTTGAAGTCGCTTCGCTGTCTGGTGACCAACCCCTAAAGAATGTATCGTGAGGGACAAAAACACAGCAAAAGAGTTTTAAATTGAAAAATATACAAGCAATACTAAATAAAGATAACAAAGTTACGCATTATCTGATCATGTATACCTGGTACTTTGCGGAGACCGCTCAGGCGGCCCATGATGTCGCCGACGTTCTCAGGCAGCAGGGTGGTTTGCTGATTGGGTTTAAAGCTGCCCGCCACCAGTTTGGCCAGCAGCTTGTTCGTGGCGACGCCAGCGCAGCCGGTCAGACCCAGTTTGCTGTGGATGGCGTCTCTTAGCTCCGCTGCCACGTGTGAACCTAAAGCCAACCTCGGATGATCACTGGCTTTAACGTCTGCACCTGGGCAGGCAAAGAAAAACAGAAATGTATCTGTGGTCGTGAAAACATTCATCAACAGAATACAAAAAGTAAACTGTTCATGTGGTGGGAAACTGAGAGTGCAATGCAAATCACGGTTACAGTTACAGTTTAGCTTCTAGGCTTGTTTCACAACTCATTTCTCAGTTTCCATGAGCCAGATGTACACAGATGCACAGCTACACACAAAGTGTGACCTACTGAGATGGTTGTAGACGTGTCCTTTAAATGAAAAGTTGTTCGACTCCGTCGTCTCTGCTAGCCTTCTTTCTACCATCTCTGTGATGTCCATGAAGTTTTCATCAAATCCAAGCCTCTCTACCAGTGGACAGTAGGACATCAGCAGCTCTGGAAGGAGGACAAGAAAAGGTCAAGAAAGAATGTTAGCAAAAATGTAATTTCACCAATTTACTTTAAACAATCATCAGAGATTAGCGAGAGCTTGATGCACTAATGTGTGGGCTATATAGTATGTGTATAGGAGGAACGCAAGGCAGCAGTAATAGTGGTAGCATTTTTACACTCGTGCCTTTACTCAAACACAAAATATCTTGCCTTTCATTGTGGATTTTAGAGGATATTTTAAGTGTCTAGACAGATTTTCTGCCTCTTTATTTCTGAGAGACTGACACCAGAATTCTGTTTTATAAATATATATATATATATTTTCTGCTACCACCTAACAATAAATGGACCCACATATGAGAGATGAGATGGTTTATTGAGTGTGTTATGGGGTGGATTCTTACTCTGAATGCTAAATCCTGAATCTTTTTCTAACTACTCTACACTAGTAGTCTTAGAATACAGCTTTATTGAGCGGAGAATCCTGCCTACCTGTCAGTTTATATGACATTTCCCGGTAGTGTGTCAGGTCTTCTCCTTTAACCAGCACCAGCTGAGGACATTTCTCCTTAGCATCAGTCACAGACATCAGCTTGGTGACACCCTGATCTCTTGCCACATAGTTGCAGGTGACTATGATGTATTTCTGCTGAATACCTGATGATATGAGAGACATTTTTGAAACCACGAAAGTATTTTGTTAACTTGAATTCTTTTGTAGTGAATCAGTTTACCTAAAGGGACCTCTCTCAGTGCAGGGTTTCTGATCATTTCCACCTGAGCATAGAAGCAGTCCAGGTCAAAATGCAGAATGACTCTGTGAGCAGGTGTTGGTCCTGATGTCTTATTGAGGCTCAGATCTGAAACAACAGATTATACATACAACGATTACCATCCAACACGTATAGATAGCTGTTAGACAGAGCCGTGTATCTATCCGCATGCCAAAAAGCCAGATGAAAGCCAGAATATAATCTTTATAGTTAGCCTTAGCCTCCCAGTCTTCACACTTTACCAGAAACAGCAGCAGCAGTGCTGTATGGGACTGAATCCACAACGCTGTTATTCCACTCAGCTTCATCCTCTTCCTCGCTGTTATCCATTTCAACGCAAATTGTATGTGTTTTGTAGATCTTAATATCCCAGATAAGACCGCTGTTGTTGTGGTTGCGGTACCAAACAGAGAAAATACTCTACTGGATGGTTGGTCCCAGTTCGGTTATGTGCAGCAGCGCCCTCTGTCGGCGCGGAGGGATTACGGCGACACAATGAACCACAATCAATTGTCACGGCAGGAAGTTTTTTTTTTGTAATTATCCTGGGTTTAAATTAGTTTTATTTTCCAAAAATATTAATATTCAAAGACAAAAAAATACGTCTCGCGACTTGAACAGAGCCTACATAAACGAGGCTGACGTAACGAGATCTTCAGTTGGAGCACCTGTTGCACGACAGTCAATTAGTCAAAACAAACGTATCGTGAAAAGTGACGGTTTTTCCTGATGTTTCCCTCGTCGGGTCTCTTTGCTGGTATAAATTGTCCTTTTTTAAAACGTGGGCTTTGTGCGCGGCCTCACTGTTTGTACAAACATGCCGCAGAATTGCGGGATGTGTTTGGTGCGTCGTGTCAATCATCGATGGTTGACTTTGCAGGTCAGTGCATTGAGGTATCCTAATATGAGGTAGCTAGCAACGATTTAAAGTGCGTTAGCTTGTTGTCTGTCTGTTAAAAGTTAACATGTATCGTTAACTACTCTAAAATTCTAAATTGCATCACGTTTTTTTTTACTAAAACTAAATGGTATCGCACTTTATCTGAGAATTATTTAGCCAGTTTTTTTTGTTCCTATCTAACTTTAAAATTAAGCACATTTGAGGGTCTGTTGTCTTAGCCTGTTTGCAAATTCTTAATTCAGATGCTTAAAGCTTGTATTCTAAAAACAAATGATGGTAGTGTAAAGATGTATGCTCTGCACATGGCTACATGTCACCACACCAGCACTCTCCACATGCTTGTATTTAAACCAATCTCGTCCTGTATTGTAATCCACTATATTACTAATAAGTCCTATTTCATATTCCTTTTTTGTACAGGGGAGCAAAATGGTTATCCGTTGAATGATGAGACCAAAGATGACTCCTTCCAGGAGCTGGAGCGAATCAACAAGGAGATTGAAACTGTAAGGTACGAGGTGGAACAGGAGCAAAGGCGACTGTCCCGCTACCAGACCGTACTGGCAGACAGCATCAAAACTCCACCGAATTTCCCTGTTTCCAAGTCTGAGACTGGAGGTAAAAATGTAGACAGGGGCCCTCATGGGCTGTCGTCGTGCACAGACCTTCCTAGAACGTATTCCAGAGGGAAGAAGTACGTGGTTGACAACTCAAGACCTAGGACTGATTTGGAGTATGACCCTCTGTCCAACTTTTCTGCTGGCTTGCGATCTTACAGCTCATCGGCTAAAGAGCAAAAAGTGAAACAAAACGGGAAATGTTTGAAAAGAGCAGAAAAAGCTGTACCGTGTGACGTCGCAGTCGCATATCAGTTTCCGATTTCCCGGTCGCCATCTCCAGAGCCACTTGATGACTCTAATGAAGACTGTGACCTGATTATTGACATTCCTCTCTCGCCTAAGAAGAAGAGAGCGAGAGCTCAGACACCTGTTGATTTCGTTGCTGGCAAATCCCTCCAGGAGAAATCGGAGGTCAAAACAAAGCCTGTTTCACTTTTAAATGTGGATGCGTGCGAGGAAGCGACTCTCCCTGCATCAACATTAGAACAAAATAGAGTTAATAGTAATTACAGTGCTGAAAACAATCAAGGTCCGTTTAATCTTTATGAGAACAAAGAATGTGAAAATGCACCAGTTGATGTAGTTCATTTAACTGGCTATTTAGAAGACGTTCAAACCGAAAGTCAGAAGATTACTCACTCTAATGCTGAACAATTAGTGGAGAAAAGTCCTGAACCTGCAAGTCCTCTGGCCACCACAGACCAGCAAGATCACAACTGCAACACTCTGTTGGCGAAAAAGGAGGTAAACGTGTTTCACGTTGAATTGCCTCAGTGTGAGCTGCCCCATTGTGTTGGGAAAATGAATCCACTGCAGCCGCATCATTTTCCACCAAACGATTCACTTTTTTACGAAGCCCCGGGTGCTAACTCGTACTCCCCGTGCAGACAACACGCCGAGCAAGTCCGGGCAGCAGAGCCGCCAGCTCAGAACCGGGTTAGTAACCAGTGGTCTTCGGTGCTGCCACAAAGCCAGAAAACGTCAAGCAAAATGCAAAAAGGACCGTTTCAGGGCAAAGCTGCTGCACCTGAAGGCTACCTGGTGCCGGCAGAACCAGCTTCAGTCGATTCGTCTGCGTTAAGTTTGTCAAACAGTGCAGAATCATCGTCCGCATCAACTGGACAGCTTTTCCTGACAGAAGATAATGAGGAGGTTATACTCATTAGTTCCAGCTCGGATGAAGATGAGCTCAACTACTCTGAAATGGAGCTGTCTGACAGCGATCCGATGGAGGAATGCTACCGGATCTTCATGGAGGCAAATGAGGAGAAAGGAAATGAAGAGCAGCCTGATGCGTCTGTAAGTATGCTGTAGACACTACAGATCCAAGATGGAAGACATTTCTCCAACACTAGCAGTGGAACAATAGTTTCCCTCAAACCGTTTCTCATATTCACTCATTTTTAGGTTGGCGCTATGGATGTCGAAGAGAAGCCGAAGTTAAACGTCAAACCCCAAGCATTACCGGGAAGGAAGAGGGTGGCTCATGATGCCAAACATACAGAGGTATATAGTTACTTAAAAAAAAAACTACAACAAAAATGCATTTTTAAAGTGCAGCCTTTTTTTCAGTCTCAGAAAAGTACACTGGAAATTATCCTTTTTGTTAATGAGAAATACAGCTATGTAAACTCCCCAAGACCATTAACATGTTATGGTAAGAAAATGTATTAAATAAATTAAAAAAATCTGTTGTATGCACAAATGTAGTTAATATGGTACAATAGATTTAACATAGATAAATAGATTTAAGATGCATATCTCAGAATGGCCTGTTTTTGTCTGGGGCACTACCTTCTTGAGAATACTATATTCTGAATTTCAAGCCTAAATTATAATTGAACACATATATTTTTTTATTTATTTATTTATTTTTTTTAAATGTGTCTGCTCTGTTTAGCAGCCAGTGGCTAAGAGCAGACCTCAGCCCCAGGTGCTGGTTCCCCTACGTGCGCCTGCAGTGTCGGGATTTGCCTCCCAGCCCTCCAACACCTCCAAGATCCAGCAGGTACAGCACAGAGCCTCCATGCTGACTGCTTCAGTTAAAGGTGGTCAGGCCTTTGTGGTTTCCTCCTCCTGTCAGAGGAAGCCAGAGACCCAGAATGCATCTCTTCCTTCAATTGAAACCCCTGAAAACATGCAGCTGGCTCCTGTACAGAATGGTAAGCATTTGGTAGCTGTAGAGGATGAGATTAATGAAGGTCATTTTTAGAAAGATTACCATTAAATTGTCAACATCAAATAGTGTCCATTTATAAAAGTAAAATAAAATGTGGGAAAAACAATCCACTTGTCTAATTCCAAAGTTGAAGCCTTTATTGAATTTAAATGTTGTTTTTGTGTTGTCATTTACATTGTCATGTTAGACATTGATATATTTACCAGTAAAACATCTTGCAGACCTGGGGTCTATGCATAGAAAGTAGCCTGCTCGTCAGTGGTGACTGCCGAAAGAAGGAAAGCAAAGGGATTTTTCTGATGCGTTGTATGCTAAACCTTTCCTATTTGTATTTAGTTGCTTTGCATGGATGCATTACGCCTGTATGTGTGTTTTATTTGTCTCACTCCACAGCTCACATGAACTACATATCTTTGGGAACTGCTGTGATTGGAGCGGACAACAACTTGCACTTGATCCTCCCAGAGGGCATCTTCCCTCTGCCCATCACTTCCACTTGCAGCCAAGTTACGTCAGTGCTTACCCCATTCAGTCAAGTGCACACCAGCAGCGTCGCTGTCAGACAAATGTACCATACGCCTGCATTGACCCCTCTGCAGAGATACCGCACAACAGCACCTGTGCTCATTCCTGCGCCGGCACGTAAACCTTCGCTCACCTCTGCTTTGTCACATTCAAGTCCAGCTGCTTCCACCATTCCTCAAGCTGCTGTACATACTACTGTTAAGGTGAGACTGGACAAGCAGCCTGAACTAAACCCATCTCTGTTGTAAAGAAGACACGTTTCGTCTGTTATAAATATTAATAATTGAATTATTCTTTTAGCCGGTGCCTACTAAACGAAAACTGAAGCAGTGTGAGGCCGCCAAAGAGAAGGTGCCCCATGAAATCCGACAGCGTTATGTCAACATGTTCACAGAGGAGTTCCTCAAGACAACAGCAAATGTTAATGAGGCTTTTGAAAAGGTGACCCGTTGCCACTTATGTAATCCTCCCTGACAAACTACAGTCTAGTCTTTTCTAACCCTGTTGTTGTTGTTGATAGGCACTTGCTGAAGAGAAGGCGGTGTACAATCGCAGTGTGAACAAACTGAAATATCTGAGTGTTGCAGTGAATGCACTGAAGAGGCTGAAGAACCAAAGTGCTGTTACTGTGAAAGGTGAACATTTCTGGAAAACCAATACCGTTCTTCATGAAATGTGATGCAACATATAATCTGGTTATATTAAATCCATTATTTCTTTCTGGTGCAGATGAAAATGAAGTAAAAAGCCAAAGATCCAAAGGCAACATTTCACTTAATCTTAAGAAGTTTAAAGGAAATGGTGAGAATTGGTTTCCTTTTAATTTGAATGCATTTGTCATTTCTTGAAAATGTTCTGGCAGTTTATCAGTGAATGTGTTTCCCACCAGATGACATGGCATTGTATGAGAGTTTGAAGGACTATATCTTGACCGAGGAAAGCCTAGTTGAGAGCAACTATCCTCTCCAGCACCCAGAGAAACCTGGTTGTGTTGTTCTTTTTGTTGACCATAAGAAAGGCAGTGCAGACCGTGAGTGAAAACATTACACTCCAACTATACTCCCTGAAATGACAGTTTGATGCTATTCTCATATTATTCCACTAGAGGGCGCACTCAACTTGTGCCATCTTTCTCAGCACATTTAAATCTGACTTTTTTTCTGTTTTGTTGCTTCAAGCCCTCAAGAGGATCTGCTGTCGATGTGGATCTACGTACTCTGTGAACCAAATGGGCAAACACATTCGTAAGGAGGAGTGTAATTACCATTATGGGAAAGGAGTCACAAACAAAGGTGAGTGTACCATAGTGTTATGCTTTAAAAACATCCCAAATGTTTGACCAATTCAAAGAGTTATTAAATGGCTTACGCTATCGGATCACTGTACATTTTTAAACCTTTAACAGTGCCGGGTGGAGTGGAGACACGCTACAGTTGCTGTGAAGGAGTGATGGGAGCTCCTGGATGTCAGGTGTTTCAGGTACAGAAAGGGAGAGCGAGAGAGTAACGAGATTCTCGCCTAAAACCTCAAATGAACCGGCGGGTAAATGTTTGATCTTTTGTTCACTAGGTGCATGTCCATGATTACCTCAGCCTGGATGGGTTCGTGTCGACTGTCCCCAGACATCCCTCAGATACGAGCTGTCCTGGGATCTACTCCTTGGATTGTGAAATGGTGATCAGCTTTTAAAAAAAAATCTTACCAGTGTTAAGCACAAAACTCAAACTAAACTAACTCATTTGTGGAAGTTTCATTAGAATAGTGATACATGAGTAATTTTTTTAAAGGCCATATAGAACTTTATTTGACAGGATCTGGTAATGAATCTTTTCATTCTCTTTTATTTGTTCCAAAATGATTACTGTATAGCACTTTATATGCACCTAAGTAATTAAGACCATTAATTGTAAGTCATTACTATGTAACCACCTTAATGTACACATGTTCCTGGGTCTGTGGGTGGACTTAAAATGATTGTTTGGTATTTAGCTGGCCTCGAGGCTGCAGCGTAAACATTTATTGTGTTAATGCTTGTCTTCATAGTGTTATACCATTCATGGTCTGGAGCTGTCGAGGGTGACGGTGGTCAACTCTAGTCTGCAAGTCGTCTACGACACCTTCGTCAGACCTGATAATGAGGCCATTGACTATAACACCAGGTAATGTTTGTTAAAGAGCCAAATGTGTTCAAACTCTATCCCCCCCCCCCCCTCTCATAATCACCCAAAACTGGCAAGAACCAAAAAAAGGGTTATTAAAGCGCTTGTACTGTGCATTTAAATATGAATATAGAGAGCGAATATAGGAGTATACAAATCAAATGGTTTTGCCATTTAACAGAAAGGCACTAGGATGTTATATAATACAACAGATGTAATGCCCGATGATACTTACTAATACAGAGTGATAACATTTAGAAAATGACAACTTGATGCATCTTTAGTCAGTAGCCTGCGTGACACTTTACTTCAAGGTTTTCAGGCGTCGGTGAGGAAGATGTGAAGGGTAACCGCACCTCCCTCAGAGAGGTGCAGGAGACCTTATTGAGCTTCGTCAGCGCAGACACCATTCTGATTGGACACGGCCTGGAAACAGACCTCTGTGCCCTGAAGGTGACTACTACTACTGTTTTTTTGTTTTTTTTGGGTTTTTTTTTTTCAACATTACGGAATTTTTGTTTGCATAGATTGTTTCACGACATGCATTAAATGTATTTTTAAAATTAAGCTGAAACCAAGCGGATCAAAGCCAGTCACATTCAACATGGCCGTCTGCTAAACTTTAAACAATTTCCCTGCAAAGGGACTTTTTTGATGCGATGTCTGGAGTATTCCTGTGCATAGTTAATGTTTTAACTTATTCATTTCAATGCCATGTAGTCCATGGGATCATGTAGCAATATTACCATTTTCTAGATGGCTGAGTGAGGAGGTTGGCTTTTTATGACCTAGATTATAGACAACCTGAATGTAGTTGATAAACTATTATAAATGCCTCACGAGAAAGTACAAATGCTGATTCAACGTGACAAACGGCATTAGAAACTATTTCAACACAAAGTTGTGAAGTATCGGCTTTTCGCAGCAGTTGAAGGTGTTTTGGCAAGTTACAAAACTAAACCTAAGCTGTGAAAATGGAGATACTGTAATATGTAAAAGTCTCAATCATAAACATATGCCAGACTCATAACTGCATTAACCAAGAGGAAGTCTAACGGGTATGGATATGGGGCTGGGTGGTATGGCCTAAAATTCATATCATGGTATAATTTTGAAGAATGCATGGTAACGGTATATATCATGGTATGTGCGGTTTACCTACATCTTAAAGCACTGGTGTGGCAACGGCATGGAGGCTTGTACTGTGCTCTTAACTGTATTATTACAACATGTCATATAGTAAGTCTAGAGCTATTTTAATATTTACTGCGCAGAATTGGATATAAAAGACGATAAATCTTTTCTCCTTGCTCCACGACTCACTTGCCCATTTGCTGAGGACGCATTATTTTGAGATGATGGAAAAGATTACTTGTTTCACCACTTTTTAGAACCACCGTCGTCATTATCGTTTTCTGCTTGTTGTCTGACTTTTTGTTGTCTTTTAAAACCTGAACCATGCACCCAGCACGGGCTCCGCCGCCCATATGATTCCAGATGATTTGCTGCCGCAGGATGACGACGACATATACTGCGACGATTTGGGGGGGAAAAAGAGGCCTGTAGACGGCATAGTCAAAATTCATACCATAGAGCTAATTCATACTGGTCTACCTTTTTCATATCTTCAACACGAGGACGTTTTGTAAGGGTTTAACAAATGCTAAACCCTATATAATGTTTGCGTTTAACATTATATGACCCACTTTGGTCAGAGGTCTAAGTCTAAGGTACTTTCTAATCCACTAGTTTTGCCATCTTATAACAAAAGTGACTAGAAAGCCACACATTTTGGGCACCTGCTGGTGGGCCATGCTATGGGATTAGCTTGTACATATTCTTTATTACTGAGTAACTTTCATTTTTCCAAAGAGGCTGTAATAAGAGCTTCAGATATCTTCCTCTTTTCTGTAGTTGCTCCACGGGACAGTGATAGACACGTCTGTGGTCTTTCCTCACCGTCTGGGTCCCCCTCACAAGCTGACCCTCAACAACCTCACAGCTGAATACCTCAGGAGGATCATCCAAGAGAGTGGTGGGTCATCATGGATAACTACAGCCGCCATACAAGTGGCTGTTTAATTTGGATGTCCATTGAATTTAAACTCCACCATACATCTGAAACTAAATTTAAATAAAGAAATAATTATAACCGGACAACACCGGAGTGAAGACTGCCAAAATGTTGATGTAGCTAATGCATGTTTTCCCAATGTGTACTTCTGACTTAATACATGGTGTTAATGTTTCTCCCAGTTTGTGGCCATGACACTGAGGAAGATGCTGCTGCCTGCATGGAGCTTATGTTATGGAGACTCAAAGAAGATGGCAAAATGAAGAAGTGATGGATGTAATGCATGATAATCACCGTACTGGGCATACATAAACCAAAAGCAGATGCTGTTATGCATATTTCAAAGTCATCCGTTTGTGTCCTGATGACATGGGAGGGCTGTTTATTTTTGTTTGATTACATCACTTAATTTTGTGTTAACACAGTAATACCTGTATATTATGAGTTGCAGCCTGTGTCCATAAATATTTGTGAAAATCTGAAGGGGTGGGGTGTTGTCAGTATTATCCAAGTAAAGGCACATAATGAAACCCCTTTGTGTGTGTGTTGTTTATGAAGTTACACCAGCCAATGAACAGCCATCATTTAATGTTGAATTGGGCTCAGGTGCAGTTATGCAAATAACATGACACCTGTCTGCAATGACTGGACAAAAGAGCAAATGTCCACATGTATATTAGAATGCAAACGCATGGTATTTGTGCATGTAGAGGATACAAATGAGTTTAATTCAGTTTTCCAGGCAAGGCTCATGGAATGTCGTACAAAGTACAGCACATAGTACGTTTTCTCCCAAGAACACTAGACACTTAAAAATAAACAGTTTCAAAGTTATGATTATTGGTCTCGAGCCATAAATTACAATCCAGGGCATTGTGGATACATTAAATAATTTAGACCAACAATATAATCTGGATTTTTCACCAACTACATCTCACTCCTCTTTCTTTCCCTTTCTGCCACAGCACCTCCGGAAGCAGAAACTGCAGGTCTTGACAA